TTCAGGTATTTTAAAATTCTTTCCGTTTAGAATTAAGATAGGTCATACATACACATGCAGGGACATTTTATAAATAGATTGCTCTTGTTTACCTGCTAATAAAATATGAAAAAAGAGCACAGCAAAATTTTTGAAGCACTCAATTTAACATGTTTGAAATAGTTTTAAAATAATTATTTAAAAAAAAATTTATTGGAAGTAGGTACATACATATTTATTTTTAATAATTTAAAAACTAACTGAAATTATTTGAAACAATTTTATAAGTAACGTATGAATAATCGAAATGAGATAATTCAAATTGTTGAAATGTGTCAACCTATATTACTTTTAATAACATTTTTGTTAGCCGACACTACTCAACTTACCTTATTGGGAAATACAAAATATGCATAAAAAATCATACATCCTTCCTCATTAACATTTGAACACATACTGAAATATGAATTTGAAATTTTTTTTCATTTTTTCTTTCCTCCTACCTTTCTTTCTTTTTCGTGCAATAGAATTTAAATGGGAAGCTTTTTAAAAAATGTGTATAATATCCTGAGATTTTTTAAAATATTAATCTCTTTTTTACGTAAAAACAAGTAAAAACGTTTCAGTCGGTATGAACCGATTGAATTATACCCTGCACCTTTCATTGTTGTATAGCAATTACTCAAACCTATGAAACCATTCTATAGAAACTTCACGGATATGTCTGATCTATAACTGAACACACAACTACCAAGTTTCGTGAATCTGACTTTATTATTTTTCCAAATATTTAAAATTAGCTTTTGGAGTTGTATGGCAGGTACCCGAACCTGCCAAGCAATTCCACTAAAACTTTGCTAATATATCTGATCTATAATTGGACACACAACTGCCAAGTTTCATGAATCTAACTTTATTACTTTTCCAAATATTTAAAATAAGCTTTTGGACTTGTATGGGGGCCAGTCGAACCTGTCAAGCAATTCAACCAAAACTCCAGAAATATCTTTGACCTATAATTGGACACACAACTGCCAAGTTTCATGAATCTGTCTTTATTACTTTTCCAAATATTTAAAATAAGCTTTTGGATTTGTATGGGAGCCACTCGAACCTGCCAAGCAATTCCACCAAAACTTCAGAAATATTTTTGACCTATAATTGCACACACAACTGCCAAGTTTCATGAATCTGTCTTTATTACTTTTCCAAATATTTAAAATAAGCTTTTGGACTTGTATGGGAGCCACTCGAACCTGCCAAGCAATTCCACTCAAACTTCAGAAATATCTTTGACCTATAATTGGACACACAACTGCCAAGTTTCATGAATCTGACTTTATTATTCTTCCAAATATTTAAAATAAGCTTTTAGACTTGTATGGGAGCTACCCGAACCTGTCAAGCAATTCCATCAAAACTTCAGAAATATATTTGACCTATAATTGGATACACGACTGCCAAGTTTCATGAATCTGACTTTGTTATTTTGCCGAATATTTAAAATTAGCTTCTGGAGTTGTATGGCAGGTACCCGAACCTGTCAAGCAATTCCATCAAAACTTCAGAAATATATTTGACCTATAATTGGACACACGACTGCCAAGTTTCATGAATCTGACTTTGTTATTTTGCCGAATATTTAAAATTAGCTTCTGGAGTTGTATGGCAGATACCCGAACCTGTCAAGCAATTCCATCAAAACTTCAGAAATATATTTGACCTATAATTGGACACACGACTGCCAAGTTTCATGAATCTGACTTTATTATTTTGCCGAATATAAAAAATTTGCTTTTGGAGTTGTATGGCAGCCACCCGAACCGGTGCAGCTATCTCATTAAAATTTTTAGAGCATATGTAGAATATAATTGGACACATGTATACAAAATTTTATATTTGTACCTTTATTAGTTTTTGAAATAATTAAAATAAACTCTTTGAGTTGTATGGCAGCTACCCGAACCCGTTGTCCGAATTGGTCCAATAACAATAGGGTTCGTCCTTGGCACAAAAGAAGCAACTTGTGAAAGTTTGGTGTCGATTGCATTATTCGTTTTTGAGTTATCGTGCGATCGGACGGTCGGACGGACGGACGGACGGACGGACATGTCTAAATCAACGCAGAATTTTACGCTGAGCAAGAATATATATATATGTCCATACCCCAGATGACTCCTTCAAGTAGTTACAAACTCCATACCAAAGTTAATATACCCTTCGCGAAGTGCAGGGTATAAAAACGATTAAATACAAAAAATATGCAGAAATTATTTTATTTCGTTTAAATATTAACAAAATTAAATTTCTTGTTCTAACAAACTAGTTACTTATTACAGGTAACAAAGTATTTTTCAGCTAAAACCAAAATTGTAAATATATAACAAAATTGTTTTTAAATAAACTACATAACATATTTACATAAAAAAATAAAATTTTTAATCAATTTTTCTTAAAACTAGTAAATTTTACGACAAAAATGTATTCAACTAAATTCACAAAATTTTTTAATATTTTTTTATTAGAGATGAAATTACATACTTATTTAAATTGTTCAAATCTTAACAACTGATTAAATTATATTTGCCATAGGCAACAAAATAAAATTTAAAGTTCTTTCAAATTAAAAATACTTCGGGGATGTCGAATTCGTTTTTCCTAATGCTTGTATACATTTATCCCTGATAATAATTATGAGATAATTTAATGTCTTTATATCTAACAAGTCCCAATACTCAATTTTTTTTACGAAATGTTACGAATTTTTGGCCTCGTTGTTGGTTTTTTCTTTAAATGCCACTGATCGTGTTATATTTTTTATTATTTTTTTCTTTTTTATACCCTGAACTTCGTGAAGGGTATATTAACTTTGGTATGGAGTTTGTAACTACTTGAAGGAGTCATCTGGGGTATGGACATATATATATATTCTTGCTCAGCGTAAAATTCTGCGTTGATTTAGACATGTCCGTCCGTCCGTCCGATCGCACGATAACTCAAAAACGAATAATGCAATCGACACCAAACTTTCACAAGTTGCTTCTTTTGTGCCAAGGACGAACCCTATTGTTATTGGACCAATTCGGACACCGGGTTTGGGTAGCTGCCATACAACTCAAAGAGTTTATTTTAATTATTTCAAAAACTAATAAAGGTACAAATATAAAATTTTGTATACATGTGTCCAATTATATTCTACATATGCTCTAAAATTTTAATGAGATAGCTGCACCGGTTCGGGTGGCTGCCATACAACTCCAAAAGCAAATTTTTTATATTCGGCAAAATAATAAAGTCAGATTCATGAAACTTGGCAGTCGTGTGTCCAATTATAGGTCAAATATATTTCTGAAGTTTTGATGGAATTGCTTGACAGGTTCGGGTACCTGCCATACAACTCCAGAAGCTAATTTTAAATATTCGGCAAAATAACAAAGTCAGATTCATGAAACTTGGCAGTCGTGGGTCCAATTATAGGTCAAATATATTTCTGAAGTTTTGATGGAATTGCTTGACAGGTTCGGGTAGCTCCCATACAAGTCTAAAAGCTTATTTTAAATATTTGGAAGAATAATAAAGTCAGATTCATGAAACTTGGCAGTTGTGTGTCCAATTATAGGTCAAAGATATTTCTGAAGTTTGAGTGGAATTGCTTGACAGGTTCGAGTGGCTCCCATACAAGTCCAAAAGCTTCTTTTAAATATTTGGAAAAGTAATAAAGACAGATTCATGAAACTTGGCAGTTGTGTGTGCAATTATAGGTCAAAAATATTTCTGAAGTTTTGGTGGAATTGCTTGGCAGGTTCGAGTGGCTCCCATACAAATCCAAAAGCTTATTTTAAATATTTGGAAAAGTAATAAAGACAGATTCATGAAACTTGGCAGTTGTGTATCCAATTATAGGTCAAAGATATTTCTGAAGTTTTGGTGGAATTGCTTGGCAGGTTCGAGTGGCTCCCATACAAATCCAAAAGCTTATTTTAAATATTTGGAAAAGTAATAAAGTTAGATTCATGAAACTTGGCAGTTGTGTGTCCAATTATAGATCAGATATATTAGCAAAGTTTTAGTGGAATTGCTTGGCAGGTTCGGGTACCTGCCATACAACTCCAAAAGCTAATTTTAAATATTTGGAAAAATAATAAAGTCAGATTCACGAAACTTGGTAGTTGTGTGTTCAGTTATAGGTTTGAGTAATTGCTATACAACAATGAAAGGTGCAGGGTATAATTCAATCGGTTCATACCGACTGAAACGTTTTTACTTGTTTATTTTTCAAACATCCCAACTCTCCACGAATATTTCAAATTTATTCAAAAATACCTAATATAAGAATATATTTCTTAACAAAAAGTACAATGACCAACCTTGAATACACCGTATGTATACATAAGTAAATTGTGTATTACAGACTCTTGAGAATAAAGATGTCTGTGTGTAGAATATACGACTTGAAATAAAGTCAACAAAAATTTTATTAGCTTTAAATTTAAAATTTAAGTTTAATTATTTGATTTTAAGTTTTATAACTATGATAGTGTTTTTAAAATTTTATAATCATTATAAAAAATGTTTCGTTTTAAGTTGTCCCCAGTATAAAAACAAACATAAAAATATTACAAAGAAATTTTGTATAAGTTTTAAAGTTCCTGATGCGGAAGTTTAAGTAAATTAATGAATTAGCCTTACTAACAATGTCAAGATATATCCTAATAAAACTAAAATCACTTATATTCCTAAAAAGAATTTTATGGATTTTTAATATAAAAACAATTCACATATGCAATAATTTTTTTAAATTATGAAGCATATACATATGTAAATTTAAGTAATAATAAGATATGTATGTCTTACAAAATTAGTAAACTTGTTAGTTTCAAATGTACATTTTCTCAAATTTGAAAAAATACACCAAAATCAACTAAATACTTCGAAAAAAAATATTTACACTATCTTTTTCTTCTTGTACTGTAACATTTATTGAAATCTTAAAATAAACAAAACCTGGAAAGTCTTTTTTAAATCGATTTTTTAATGTTTTAATGACACAAAATTTTAAGAATGTAAGCACTAGTAAAGTAGAAAAAGATTGAATTTTAACTTTTTCTAATTTGAAAAAAATCGATTATTGTGGGAGATTTATGATGTTAAAAAGGGCCCTCTATATATCCGATAAGAATTCGCGTAAATTCGTTATTTGTGCACTGTCACTTTCTCTTAGGATGCAGGCCTGTATTTCTGTCAGCCGTAGGGAGATATCATACATAATTAGCAAATCTGTTAATATTAAATATACATTTTCCAAATTTGAAAAAATACGCGAAAACCAATTTTTTTTGTAGTGTAGCATTTATTGAAATTTTAAAAAAAATAAACAGAGTCTGGAAGTTTTTTTAATCAATTTTTTAACATTTTAATAACACACAACTTTTATAATGTAAGCACTAGTAAAACAGAAAAAGATTGAATTTTAACTTTTTCTAACTAAAAATTTGAACTTTTGGGAAATATATGATGTTAAAAAGAATCTTCTATAGTTTCCATGAGAATACATGCAAAATCATCAGCCGTGAACTTTCCCTCTCCATTAGGATCCCCACCAGTACTTTGTCAGCCGTGGTATACATTCAAAACGATGCACAAAATTCGTCTTCTTTATACAAAACCTAACTCAACGTTTTGGAATTTTTAATATCATTATTAAAGAATAGAACAGTTATAGTGATGTCGTCACGGTATTGCCTTGAAATATCCTTTGGCAGAGATAAATAATAAGATAGTTTAGAATGTTCAATACCATACTCCGTTCCACCTAGTGCATTACGGATTAAGTGTGTAGCCGAATTTTGATCCAAGGGTTTATGTTTTTTCCCGTCCTTTCTCTGTGTCAAAGTAACGAAAGCTTTCTTAATAGTATGGTTTTCCATAAAACTGAATGGTTCTAGAAATGCTTTCCCCAATATGTGTTCTCCAACCAAATTTACCACTTGAGTTGGTGACAAAAAGTCCCACAAGCCATCACTAGCAATTACTAAAAATTTATCGTTCTCCAATATTTTATGGCAAATGACCTCTGGTTTTGCAGTAAGATAAGGGGGTGTATTATAATGAAGTGGAACAGCAATTTCTCCAAATTTTGGAACAACAACTTGTTTTAAAATGTTTTTCGACCACTTGTATCTAAAATCCCCTAACGCACGTAAAGGAGCTAATTGACCAAGCAATCGATCATTTCTTATTACAGTATCCTTTTCTTTTACAGGATGTTCACTTAAAATTCGTTTAACTTCGGCAATGTTATCAGAATTGTGTTCGTGTGTTAATACTTTAGTTATCCATTGACCAGATTCTGAACATGAGCCGATTACAGCTGCACAATCACCAATGTTAGCTATATATACATTTACATCGGTAACTAGTGCAACACATGCAACAGCACCGCTCATTGCTACTGACATAGTTCTTACGTTAGGATATTCTAGCGCTTCTCGCGAAAGATCTTCGTCTAAAGAAATAACGCTGTTTTCTATTCTCTCTTTTATATCATATTTTTTGTTTGCCAAAGATAAATGGACATATCGCAGGAAGCTCTCTTCATATAAATCTCTGATTTCTTTGACAAAATCAACCTGTAATTTTATGATATCAAGCAAATGTTGAAAGTTTAATTTTAATTACTTTATCATTATGACATTTCAGAAAAGACTGACTCGTAGCTCCTTCCGACAGCTCTTTACAAAGTGTATCATAAGGAACCAAACTTGCAGCTAAATATCTCAGAAGTCTTTTCGAAACCACCTGAGAGCATGCTGGGCCACCATGCCCATCAAAAACTCCGCAAACAAATCCATTGGTATGTATCAAACTTGCTTCCGTTCGTGAATCTTCAATTGGATTGTTTGATGCTAACTGATTTGTGTCAAACCCTTTAAGCCGACTACCTTTAGGAAAAATATGACAATATTCATTCTCCCTTAGAATTAAATTAACCTGCGAAAAACAAATTAATGAAATGCCTTACTTTATCTAATATCTTACATCATAAGGCGATAAAATGGACAAACTGCAGTACTTGTTAACGAATTCTGTTATTTGGTTTAAAATCGTAAATTTAAAAAAACTTTTGTTCATTTGAAATTTTGCCTGAATATTGTTTTCAATTAATTAATTACTGTTAAAATAAAGTTGCTTTTGAAAAATGTTATTTTAATTAAATTTTTCTATAACCCCACATTTGTCATAAAATATTATGTAGAACTATGATTATATTTATTTGTTCCATTCACCTACCATTCGTTATCACTAATATCTGATTACAATCACAACTGCTTGAACATATTTTTATTATTTATGCGATTATTAAGATATACATGGTGCATCAGTAAAGAGTACAATATTATATATCATGGTATAGAGCACCAAAAATCAGTAAAATTTTAGTTCGCAACTAGTTGTCAAAACTCAAAGGTTTCCGAGATACAAGAATTTTAACGAATTTTCACGATAAATTTCTAAGAATATTTTGCATATATCACACACCCATGGAAATATATGACCTTAAAAACAAAGGCCAACGGTAAAAAAGAATTTTAGGCTATTCTCCTGCCGGTTATTAAATTTGCGCTGCATATTGATTTTAAAAAATAAAATACTTACTTACTTTCATTCTTACATTATTTTAGGAACTTTAATCAGTTCTCATTTGCTCCATATGCCATTTTTTTGAATTTTGAGTTATAAGTGGTTTTCTAGGTTTTGACGGGTTCTCTTTCACGTGACGCAAACCGTTTTTTTCCTATTTTCCTTAGTTTGTAAGATATTTGGTGTCGTTTTTGCTCCATAAACCACAACCTACAGATTTTTTGCTCCATAAACTATTTTTTTTTGTCAATGGAGCACATTTTGCATGAAAAAAGCATGATTTCTTTATGTAAGATTTAATGTGCTCCGTAGATTATGGGTATAATCGGAAAGTAATAAAAAATGTGCATCAATGCAGCGTCGATGAAAAAAAATGTTGCTGATGCTATACCGAAGTTAGGCGTGTATCTTGATGATGTAATATAAATTTGACCTTTTGCGACACTTTTTAAATCTTATGTTTTTTGCGTTTATTTTAAAAAGGTTTTGTGTAAGAGTATTAAAGTTATTAACAACTGAAAATCTATTAAAAACAATTCTTAATTTCAATGCTATTAATATAATACCGATATAATGCATGAACAAATAATTAATTTTATTAGTTATTGAGTTAAAATAATAAACTATTTACTTTTAATTTAATAAGTTATTTACTTTGCATTAATACAAAATCACAAAAAAATTGATGCACAGTTGATTTAATATGATGCGTATTTTTGACATTTTTGCACACCAAATATTTAAAGTATTGCAGCATTGATTCATTTTCGTACATAATTTTTACATGATTACTCATCGATGCTGTTTCGATTGCTTTCTAATAATACCCATAGTAAAATAGCTAAAAATTGCATTTAGGATATTTGTACATAACATACATACATGTGTTTTTTTGAACTTAAAATTTAAAGGTTAAATTTTTATTTGCTGCAAGTGCATTTAAAATGTATGGTTAAAATTAAAAAGTATGATTAAAAATTTTTATGATATTTTTTATCTAATCATCGCGTTTACCGTTTTAAAATTCAGCTGCATATCTAAAATTCGCCGCTTTGGATAATTATATTTTTTTTAGCTTATTCTTCCCCAAATGACGAAATGACGTTGCTTTCCTTCAGATTTTTCAAATAATTTGCTCCACCGTTATAGGATTTTAATATTATTTTACTCAATTTCAACATAAGATTTCAATATATCGTCGGCTTAATCTAATAGCAAATAACTCATTTTGCTCTACTTTACAGGAGACAAAAAAAAAGCTATTATGTGACAATATTTTATATGGTTGCTTGTGAATGTTTTTAGCTAATTTAATGTTTAAAAAGAATTTTAATTAGAATATAACCTTTATTTACCTTTCATTGATATATTTACCTAGAACAATGAGTTACAGGAAGTTATGAAAAAATTTATGACAAAAATGAGTTTTTTGCTATTAGAATTAAGCTGATGATATGCATCTCCATGTGCAAAGAGGTCTGTAAGAATTAACAAACTCATTGGATATCTAGCAATGGCAAAAATTACCAACTTAAAAAAAATTGAATTCCAATCAAAAATCTAAATTTGGATAGGAGATTACCAAAGGAGACACTACATTATACCAAAATAATTAATAAACTAAAATCGTTCAAATGTATTTTTTTAATAAGGTTCAAAATTTCTCGAATTCGTGTTGGTGGCGAATGGAGCAAAATAGAACTCAGTCGGTGATATGGTGTTTGAAAGGAAGGGGTGTCGGAAATAATTTGTGTGAAGGAAATTAATTTATATTTTTAGCTCTACTGATTCTTGTTTTTATTTTAAAATTTAAACTTCGAAAAAATTGTTTGGTTAATTCCATCTGAAAAATGCATTTAAAAAAAACTGTGACTTCAAAAACGCTTAATGTTTAAGTACGGTATTAATATGATTGTACTACCGTCTCAGAGCTTATATTACATTGTAAAGAAAGCTACTTAGGTTTTTAACACATTTTGGAATACAATTTTTACAATATTAATACATACTTATTTAAAAATTTCAATTTTAAATTCTGTGCAAATGTTAATTTTTAATAGACGTTACTCTACATCATTAAAAACATAGCACTTTTATGCTGCATTTCAAACCATATTAAAAAAGGCAGAGTTACAAACAATATTGAAAAATTTCACAAAAAACAAAGAATATTTTAATCAGAATACTTCGAAAACATTAAGAAATGGACGTTAGTTTTTTCCGATTGCAAAATTTCGGAATATAATTTCAGGTTAGTGGAGTAACAGATATGTATGGCATTAGGCAAGGCAAGGTTCGATATGATATACCGAATGATATTTGTGGAAAAAATTTTACACTATAAAGCCTGTGACTTCAATAATGCTTTAAAAAAGATTTAAGTACGGTACTCATGTTTTTATATCTAATGAATGCCGATGCTGAGAGAGAAACTTGAAAGCACGACCTTATTTTTTGAGAAGAAATATTGAAATAAATTCACACTTATTATAAAACAGGTAAAATTTCGGAAATATATTTGAAAAATCAAGAGATATATATTAATATTTTCATTCATAATTATTTTAAAATTCTTGAAAATCATCTAAAACAGCGGAAAAACAGCAAGCACAACCTTCGCCTTCAACGTTTTATATGTTACTGAAAGCATTTCATTATTTTTAAGTGAACAGCTTTTTTTTTCTCATAGGGTAAGTTCACTCAAGATATGGGGAGTAACTGTGGTGTCAAGTTGAAAATATAATTAATGAAAGATAATTCTTAAATATTGATATAAATACATAGTAAAGAAAAAATTTGAAGAGGGAATTATAAAATAATATCTAAAATACAATCAAATATTATTTGTGAAATACAAATTTTATATAAACTTCAAAATTTTACCTCTATTTTTATTTGAAAAAATATTAAAAACTTACTATCATTTGTATCAATTACCTAAGAAAAAAAAGTATTTAAAATGTTTGGAAAAAACAATCATATATTTTTATGACCGGATTTGAATATTTTTTTGTTTTTGAAATAAATGGTATTTTACCAAATGACTCAAAAATTCCGACTGTAAAATAACAGGTATTTTAAAATTTTTGTTTTTTTATGTAATATTCTTTCCGTTTTGAATTAAGATAGGTCATACATATACATGCAGGGACATTTTATAAATAGATTACTCTTGTTTACCTGCTAATAAAATATGAAAAAAGAGCACAGCAAAATTTTCGAAGCACTGAATATAACATGTTTGAAATAGTTTTCAAATAATTATTTAAAAAAAAATTGATTGGAAGTGAGTACGTACATATTTATTTTTAATAACTTAAAAACTAACTGAAATTATTTGAAACAATTTTATAAGTAACGTATGTATAAATAATCGAAATGAGAAAATTCAAATTGTTGAAATGTGTCAACCTATATTACTTTTATTAACATTTTTGTTAGCCGACACTACTCAACTTACCTTATTGGGAAATACAAAATGTGCATGAAAAACATACATCCTTCCTCATTAACATTTGAAACCATACTGAAATATGAATTTCAAATTTTTTTTCATTTTATCTTCCCTCCTACCTTTCTTTCTTTTTCGTGCAACAGAATTTTAATGGGAAGCTTTTTAAAAATGTGTATAATATCCTGAGATTTTTTAAAATATTAAACTCTTTTTTACTTAAAAAAAAGAAAAAAATAATAAAAAATATGACACGATCAGTGGCATTTAAAGAAAAATCCAGCAACGAAGCCAAAAATTCGTAATATTTCGTAAAAAAAATTTAATATTGGGATTTGTTAGATGTAAAGACATTATTTAAAATATTCAACTCTTTTTTACGTAAAAACAAGAAAAAAATAATAAGAAATATGATACGATCAGTGGCATTTAAAGAAAAAAACAGGAACGAAGCCAAAAACTCGTAATATTTCGTAAAAAAAATTGAGTATTGGGACTTGTTAGATGCAAAGACATTAACGGTATTAATACGGTTGTAGTACCCTCTCAGAGCTTTTAATACCTTTATATTGTAAAAAGAACTACTAAAGCTTTTCGTACGTTTTGGTATGCAGTTTTTACCATATCACACAACTTTGACGTTTATTTGAAAATTTCAATTTAAAGTTCTGTCCAAGTGTTCATTCTATAAAACGTTACCGCATCATTAAAAACCTATCATTTTTATGCTGCATTTTAGGAAAAAACTTAATAACTAGAACTTTATTGCTGAAAATATATGCTAGTTTATTTTATCGCTTATTTCTGACAGCATTTATATGACAAGGTATAAGAAAAGCGTGCTCGTTTTTTCGATGCCCGATTTACTTTTATTTTACGTCTTCACTACGTATAAAGCGCATTTAGGAAAAGTGTTCAATGCCAAGAGCTTTTACTAAACTTTTTGGAATTTTATACTTTGTAAAATTTACGTCATAAGCGCATTATTGAAGTCACGGAGCATTTTGACAAAATCATGTTAAGGTCAGCTATGTTCCAGTAAACAATCATTACAATTTTTTTTTAACAGATGATGGTTTAAAAATAAATCCATTGATTAAAATCGGGATTATCAGTAGCTCGCATATTCCGCTCTAGTTTCAAAGTTTGAAAGTACTACTGTAATATAAACTTTTTGATATAAGAACGTTTTCTCCTAAAGGAAGTTTATCAATAGTCAAAACTTGTAAAA